ATTACATTCCAGTATGTTGGACTGGACTGCCCTAAAGATATGCTGAATAATGTTTGATCCGACTGGTTTGCAGGTTGTAGATGCTACTTTGTCTTTTCTCCACTGTACGACCATATTTGCTGTTTTAGGAACCTTTGTGCATGTTCCGACTGCAAGACCCGTCCCCTACCTGCTCCAGGGTGGCTTCCTCCTGAAAAACTGCTGTGTGGGTCTCGATGTCAATTGGTTCAACTCAGAAAAGAATGATGGTGATTGGTTAACCTCGGACAGGACAATGATCATATTCGTAGAGGTGGAGTTACATCTAGTAGCTACTGGTGTGGTAGGATGCATTATGTTTCTAGGAATCTTCGGGAAATGCTGTTGCCAGGAAAAGTTGGGCTTCGTTTGCACCAGCTTTCCAGGAGCATAGGGCACAATGTAGCAGAAACTATCCAATACTAATTGTTTTCAGACTTTATTTTTCCATTGTAGCGTTTGATTTGACAGCTTCAACCACCGTGTGAACTCCAAGTGCACCAAAACATCGGCGAGCGGTTAGCAGATGCAACTCCAGTTCTTTGAACACATCCGAAGTAGAACAATGGAGGGTTTATGTTGGTCTAGATGGTTGCAATGTTAAAGAAGAAACTGTTTCACCTCAACTAATCGTCAGAAGGGCTGAAAAACTGTGCTCGCTGTTCACTCTGAGCTCAACCAATCGGCATTTGTGTTTTCTGAGTTAAACCAATCAGCATCAAGACTCGCACAGCAGTTTTTCAGAAGCATCTACCCTGTAACTGGTACTTTTTTTGACCTCCAATACAACCCTAAAAGAGGTACTGCGGGGTGGTTCTTGCAGTTGGAACATGCACAAAGGTTCAGGCTTCCCTAAAATGGCAAACATTTAGTAAAGAACATCCACATGAATGGCAAGAGCTAAAGAAATGATCAGTGTTCTGAACCTGTGGGTGGTTTTAATGTTGTGGCTGGTCGGTGTTTGCTCACAGAAAGTTAATCATAAGAAAAGTTAAAGCTTGACCTTTCTGTTCTTTTAGCCTTTTGGGATGCATAGAAATATGCTGACTTTGGTGCAGCTTTACTTTAAACCCAACAGGGACAGTTGATCAATAAGTCCAGCTACAGTATGCGCATGAAAAATGTTGCCGTCTTGTGGGAAGAAGTGGAACGATCCCGACAAAGATGGTGTTACTCTCATTATTATTATTGACCCTTTTCTGTATTCAGTTTGTACGAAAAAAAAAACACTCAACAGTCAGTCATACATAAAAACCGCCTCGCTCGGTCCAGCAGAATTGGTCTCAGATCACATGAAGTGATGCGTTGTTTGCTAAAGCAGCCACTTTGCTTCTGGTTACCGTTTGAGCTGCATACAAATCCAGAGTTCACCCGTAGCTGTCTGAACACCGCTGACCTCCACAAGTGTCTCTACACGAGAGCAGGACTTTGCATTCAGATTCGCGCTCCTTTTCTCTGCCTGCAGCTGCCCATGAAAGCCTGGATGGAGGAGTTTTCTGAAGAGGGATCGTTTCAGTGGCTCAGCAGGCTGGATCGGGGGTTTCAGGTGAGCGAGTCGCTCTGGGTGGAAATCAAACACTGATTCTGAGGCCTGAGGTATGCGAAGGAAGGAGGGGAATAGTTTTTAAAAGTTGTCTGAGGTTAAAAAGCCACAGAAATGGACGCAAGATGAATTTACAGTTTGATGATATGATGATGAAAACTGCATTAGTTAGAGGTGCAGTGCAAATTACAGCTGGACAGTTGATTAAAATATGAACAAACCAGCAATGTTGGCAAGTGCAATGTCCAAATAATAACTTTATTTATGTAGCACCTTTTCAAAAGAGTGTTTACAAAGTGCAGGGCAAAAGAGAAAAGAATGGAAAGAAGAAATAGAATTAAACATGGTGTAAGATTTTCAAAGTGAATCAACAAAACACCAGAAAAAAATATTTGAAAAGAGCCATATCCATTTAGGAAAAAGAACAAGTGGAATAAAAAGAAAGTTGAGGCTTAAACCATAAACACAAGACTTAAAAGAATAATATTAGCAGTAATAGTGAATAAATAAAATAGCAGGAGCTGCATTTTTTTCTTACAACATACATTCAGCCATTTTTCACTATTTGCTGCCATTTCAACATTTGTGCGTATTTACTTGGAGTTTGATTTTGGCTGTTAACATTAGTGTCTTTTATCAGTTTTACTATCCCGGCGCCAACGTGGTCCAGATGCGTTTTCTGAGGCTGCACAGCAGCACCGCCGTCCAGAAGGTGACCTACTCCTGCCATCCAGGACACAGACTGGGCCAGACGGACCGAGACGTCAAGTTCCTCACAGACACCAGGAAGCAAAGTTACCTCGGAGCGGTGAAAGATTGTCAGGTTTGTAAAGAAAAAAAAACAATAACAACATCATTTTAGCTTTTTAAAAGTACTGGAAGAAGTCATGTAGTTGCTGTTTAAGATGTTTTTCTGTTGAAATGTTGGTTTTGTTGATGTGAAAATCATGCAGCAGCTGCAAAAAAAAAGTTAATTAAAGGAGATTTTTTGGTTTTGGAAAAGAAGAAAAAATACTTAGAATAAATTAGAATAAAACTTTATTAATCCCTTCAGTACAAGACCTCAGGGAAATTGCTAGTTTTTATTATATTTTTATTGTATTATATTTTCTATAACTGGTCTGTTCTTAAAGACGATTTGGTTATGAGTTTTAAAGACCCTAGAAATTAGGAAAAGATCTTGAAGAAAACCAATCAATCAATCATACCTTATTTCTAGAGCACTTTTTATACAGATGAAATGCAACACAAAGTTCTTCACAGATAAATAAACAAATAAAGAAAGAAAGAAAGAAAGTAATAAAACAATCCCTATATTGAGTTGTAAATACTGGTGGTTTCCCCTCATGTTAATATCTGTCTTGGAGGTTTTGTGTCCACGTGTGAAAGCGTCTGAAAACAAAGAATGTTTTAATCACAAACAGGAGGGAGTGTTAGAATAATTCTATGTTATGATCCAATGATCTTTGTGAAAAGTATGAGAATGCTGTAAATGTCCATTACCTCTATTGCACCTTGTGAGTGTGAGATAAGGACCAGACGTCCTTAGCGGGTAGTCAAAACACCATGCCTACACACACACACACACACACACACACACACACACACACACACATGGCGGGAGGTTGTCTTCTGTTTTCTGTATAGAAGAACCAATGCTTCATGCTTGTAGTCGGTCACTTGTTCCGACTCTGTTGCTCCTTGCTGCAAGTAAAACATTGCTTTGACTTAAGGGACGAGTCTGTGTATTGATTTGGAGCAGTTAGGACTCCACTGAGGATTCAAAAACACAGGGATGGAGGAAGGAGATAAAATGAAATAAAAAAACAGAATAAGATAAAAGTCCCGTTATTAAAATAGAGATGTGTAGATGAGAGGCAAAACAGAAGTCAAGAATCATAAAAACAGAATAAGAAAATAATACAAACAAAGTAATAAACTGTACATTGAAAAGACTAAAACATGTAAATAAGTGGATACATGGAGAAATTAATACATAACAGTAGTTCTAAGAAGACTTTTAATTAAATCAAATCAATCAAAAGCCTGACTTAAAAGCCTGATCTTGACTTTACGCGCTCTCTGCTGCCCTCAGGTCTCCTGGAAGGACGTTCCAGACATGTGGGCCTGATACCAAACACATGCTGAACGTTGCATCAATGTGTTGACTTGATGGTGTTCTCTGTGTTCCAGCCTGGAGAGGAGACGGCTTCTGGTCCTCGGGAGTCGGTGTTTGAGTTCGAGGACCTGCAGCTGCTCCCTCTGAGGGACGTGGCTCTGATGGGGGGAGGAAACTTCACGCACCGGTTCGGCCTCACCGTCGGACCCGTGTGCTTCAGCTAGAGGTCGGCGGACACAGACCTCCGTTCAGAACACGGAGAGGACGACTGCAGCTTCCTGATGTCTGAACATTTCTTCTCCTCTTGCGTCGGAGGGATCTGATCTCTCGAGTTGAGTGACTCCGTGCGGATGAATCTCAAAGGGCACGCGTGCGCTTTTTTGTTTTTTATCACGGAGAAGTCAATTTTGTTTACAGAGACATTTATCTTGTATTAAATAATTTAAAAATGTATGTTTTTTTTTTATCCTTTATATACAATGTTTTTGTTGTTGTTGTTGTGTATTTAGGGATTCTGTTATAGCTTGCTCATCGTGTATATAACTGACCTCTAACAATGTGTTTCTGCACAGCGACGCGGCTTCTGTCGTCCCATTGGCCGTCCGTTACTGTACTGTAGTACTGTAGGTGAACCCTCACGTTTCACTTTAACTCAAGGTGCTGATCGAGTTTTATTATTTAATCCCAGAACCAATAGAAAAGGGGCAGCCGTGACATCCTGTGCGTGTTTGGTGCTGTTCTCAGTGTGTTCTAAAACAAACCATCGCTTATTGTTTTTTGTTTTTTTTTCATATAATTGTGTTTCTCAGGTACTTTAATGACGTACATGTGGGCACTGAGTCTGCTGTTGCCTCCGTATGTCGCTCAGTTTTATAGTTTAGACTTAAGAAGTGTTAAGATTAGGATAAATCCATGACAACCAACAATGAATTATTGATTTACTAAGAATTGTTTAGCAGAGCCTGATATTGCAGATTCCAGAAACAACAATGGAACCATTTGTTCATGACCGCAAACGCACAAACTGGTTTATTTTGATTGATGCACACTTTTTTTTTGTTCAATTCCCGGCTACAGAGCTCAGCTGTCTGTCTCTCTATCATCTGTCTCCACTGTTTATCTAATAAATGCACAAATATCCAAAAATAATCACAATCTTGGAACAAAAGACAGAAATGTTAACCCAGTGCTGTAACCTGTTAGGTCACCATGGTAACTGATGCTGCAACCTACGTTGAGAGGTTTGGCGTCTGATCCCCTATAAGAAGCGTCTCTCCATCACCAGTTCGTCTCCTGATATTTCTCTACTCTGCTGATTCTGCAGCTCATGGAACACAGATTAGAAACTCCTCAGTCTATTGGTATTGATCACAAAGAACATTTGATCAGAAGCATTCATTTGATTTGCCTAAAAACTGCAGTGATTGTATTCTTCATTGTGACCTGAATGCACTCGTTGAGAAGCCTGTCAGGGTGAAATAAATCAAATTTAGTTCAACAGCATTAATATGCAGATGTAATGTTAGAAATAAGCGACTGCATTACGAGTGAAACATACCCACATGATCAACCGTTTTCTACCAGCGTTCCTCTCTTGCCTGATTTGCAGAAGCAATTTTTTATTTTTTTTTAAAAACTGAACATTTATTAAAAACTAAGCAGTAACAGACAGAGCAGCCAAGTTGTAAAATAGTTTGAAATAAAGTAAAACATTGTTGATTTAATGACAGGAAATGAATCATATAAAAACACCAGATTTTTGAAAGGAGTGAACACTTGCACCTGTAAAACTATTAAACACGGTTCAATCATTGATCTTCAACAGACTGTAAACGTTTGTGGTCGTATACGATGAACCAATAATCTGTCACAGGAGCATCTGAGATGATTACAATGCATAAATAAAAAGACATGTTTAATTTAATGAACCCTATGCATGTAAAGCCTAGCATTCACTAACAAGAGAAGAGCTGGAGTTCTGCCTGATTATTAAGCTCTGACAATAGATGCTGCTTTGATCAAATCTGAGTTTATAATTTCTGAGAGTCTATTAGATGAGATTTTTTTTGTACCAATCCAGTTAAATTCAAGCATGATGAGAGTCTGACAAGTTTTATTCCCATAGAACTGAGGCTAAGCAGCCACATTTCACACACATTCCAGAATAAATCTCTAATTTCTCCCTCTGCACTGTTTAAATCAGGATTTAGTTTGCCTCTGGAGTGAGAGTATTAAACCGGCCCTGCCTGCAGAGCCTTTTTTGCCCTCCTGCCCCCCTTGCTCTGGTTCAAACCTGCCCACTTAGCTTTTAGCGATTGCTGTCGACCCGAGTTTCAGCCTCGTTCGATCTGAGCAGTGCCTGTGTCCAGTGGAAAAGCAGCACACCTCGCAGCGGCTCAGCAGAATTGGTATCAGGCGTTTGAAGTCCGAGTGATGTCCAGTCTGCAGGGGGGGAAGATTTGAGTAAGATCTCAGGGAGTTAGTGGTGAGAGCGTCGTTAATATGCTCCACCTGAACAGCTTCTCTGCAGCTGGAAAACTTTTCCTTCATCTTCATGCTCGTACCGGTTTCTGTGGAGAAGCTGAGGTGCGCCACAGCTACACGTCAACAACAGGAATGACCATAAAGCAACTATTGACATGTAATATTTCCTTTTTTTTTTTTCTGTACCTGGATTTATCGCAGCATTTCATATGATTGCCTTAGCTGGCTGAGACTGATCATTGTTACTGTACATGTTTCGTACAAATTATAACTCTTTTTAAAATTATGAAACGACATGCTGGACATCCGTCTTGTGTGATCCCTCCATCAGCTCTTTCAAAGAACTGTGTCGGCTGAATTAAAGAGAAGACCCATAACCACACGCTGGCTCTGTGTGTTTTATCCTCTTTAGTTGTGCAAATTATTCGACTGTTTTTCAAGCTATTTGATTAATGCAACCTCATGGGGGTGCCAGAGAGAAAGTGAGGAGGCAAGAATGTATTTTATTAGGGTCTGAGCACCCAAAAGGGAGCGAAGACCCTATTGGAACTGCTCGGATTATTATT